TGCCCTCAGGTGCTTTGGAGAATAGTTTCACTCCCTCTTCTTTGTGGCAACCCCTGAGATATTAGAACACTTAGGATTGGAATCTTAGCCAAGGGAGCCAATATTGTCTGAAGACGCTTCCATGCTCATGTAGCCAGCATGGTTACATGCCAAGGTGTTACCTTCCCACCAAAGTGGTACCTATTTATCTAATTGCTTTTGAATGCTTTCAAACTTCTAAGTGGGTAGGACCTGGAGTAAGTAACACAAGTTCACCCCGATGGGTCTCAAACCTGGGCTGTCAGCTTTCCAGCTGACAAGCTTAGCATCTTTAACCGCCCCCCACCCTCAGATTAAAATATAATCTACAGTAATTTAAAAACAGGTGGTGTGTTCCATCTAGGCCCGTGATGGTGAACCTGTGGCCTGCGTGGACCACAGGTGGCCCGCAGAGCTCTCTCTGCGGGCACGCAAGCTGTCACCCCAGCTCAGCTCCACTGTGCATGTGCACGTGCCTCCCACCAGCCAGCTGGTTTTCGGGTCTCTGCCGCGCATGCGCGGGGGGCGGGGCACATACGGGAGATGCGTGCGTATGCACGGGGGAGCACGTGCAGGGGTCATGCTTGCATTGCTTTATGGCTTTCACATGCAAAGACAAAAAGTTTAGCCATCACTGATCTAGGCTCTCTACAGAGACACTGATGCTGAAGAACCCTATTACAGGTAGTCCTTGACTTATAACAATTCATTTAGTGACAGTTCAAAGTTGCAAAGGCCCTGAAGAAAGGGACCTGTGACCATGTTTCACGCTTAAAATCTTTGTAGCAGACCCACGATCGTGTGATCAAATTTCAGATGCTTGCCACCTGTTTCATACTTATGACCATTGCTGTGTCCCAAGGTCATTTTGCAACTTTTTGCCAAGCAAAGCCAGTTGGGAAGCAAGATTCACTTAACAACCGTATTAATAATTTATCAACTATAGTGATTCACATAACAATTGTTAAGTTCATAAGATGGGGCAACACTCACTTAACAAATGTCTCACTTAAAAATAGAAATTTTGGGCTCAATTTTGTTAAGGAGTACCTGTACTCCCGGTTTCAAGTTTTATTAGTTTATCAAATATAAAGTACAAAGTAATATAAAAAATAATGAGAAAATAGGAAAGAGAAAAGCAGAGGCAAAAATGATGGGTAAAAGAAAAAGAAAAGCATTGACTTCAACTCTTTTTAGCACAGTAGCATAAGGTAATACCATGCAGTCTCAATTTTTTACTTTTACACAGTAATATTTACTAATGACTTCTATAACCAAAAGCCTATCTAATCAGCAGTACCCAAAATCAAAAGTTTCATTTTTTCCCCACCTCAAACCCAAAGTCCAGAAACAATTTCCAAGTAGAGACAAAGTTAGCTGTATTCTTCTCTTTTAATTAGAGCACTCAATTTGGCCATTTTTGCTACCTCCATCAGCTTTTGCAGCCAAATCATCCCTTGTTGGAATTAAGGTATCTTTCCATAATCGTTACTCCCGTAGTTGATAGGTTATACAGCAATTTCTGGTCCTTAACATCTTGATTCTGCCCTGGGCTCAGGAAGGATCTTTAGTTTGTTCCAGGAAGAACTAAGGTGGAACAATCCAATTCCAGGACCCCATGCCAATCCCAAAAGTTGTTCTTTTCACTTGTGGGAAATATTGGATTTTTCCACCTGAAAATGCGGTGGGAAAATGCGTCAGACCCACATAGCAATCCGGTTACATGATCAGCCTGCTTCCAGAGAACTGGAGCGGAGAATGACTGGGTTTTTTTTAAACAAAATGTGAGCCACTAATCATCTTGTTAAGTTACCCACAAAGTTATTCTAACTCTAACAGCCAACATAATGTGCACAAACATATTTGGATTTACATCTCGCTCTCTTCCCAGGAATTGGCCAAGGTGCTTGCATGTCATGGAACATTCATACACATTTTAACTTCTGACAAGGTTGAGTGACAACATATTTTGAATCATTCATTCAGCAGCCGAAAGGGAAGCGTGAAGTCAGTTTTTCTGAATTATTATTTTTTTTTTTTTAAAAGGAGAACAGAAACTCCCAGCGTGGTTACGGAGAATGAGAGCCGGCTTTCACCATGATTCAGAATGACCAAACCCATCCTTGGCTGCACATCTCTAGTTATAGATACTTGTGGAAGAACGAAGGGCATTGCGTTTATTGGCAGGCCTTGGCGCATGTTCCCAAGC